ACCACCCTGCAGGGAGGAGAAGGCTACCACTGCCCCCCCCCCCCCGGCCTTCTGGGAAAGGAAACCCCTACCCAAGCCAGGGGACAAATCTTTTTAAGGCACAGGGCCACCCCAGCCATATTTCCTAAGTCAGCAGAGTGGATTTTCACTTATTGGAGGGAGAACAGGCCCAGAATTTCCTTGTCCTTGGCAAATCTCTTGGTCACTGACACATGATTGAGGTGTGAATAAGTGCTAAAACCTAAGATCTGGGCATGGTGGTGCACACCTTTAATCCCAGCACTCCAGAGGCAGGCTGATCTTTGTGAACTAAAAAAGGCTAGCTAGGGCTATATAGTGAAACCATATCTCAAACACCACCATCATCACCACCACCACCACCACCACCACCACCACCACTGCCACCACCACCACGAAAACATCCAAAAGTTTCAATTAATTGCATTCTCAAATAGTTGACACTAGCAGAAAAATTGCAAAGACAGGGCAGGTTCCTGCACACCCTCCACTCAGACAGGATGACAAGCTAACACTTTACAAACATTTGCACATTTCTCAAAAGGAAGAACATTAACACATCCATCTAACAGACTTGAGTAGATTTCTGCAAAGTTTTTCACTAATGTGGCTTTACTGTACCTGGGCTCTCTAGGGGTGACACACCACATCCGAGGCTATGGTGTAAGTACGGGAAAGCTCACTGTACCTAATCAACCCCAGTCAGAGCTGCAGAACAGGCCTTAGCAGAGTAAGGAGCAGTTTCTGCATAGACCAGGAGACAATGACAGGAGGCCTCCCCTCCCCCAAGATGAACAGATTAGAATCTGTTAGGGAAGTCCTGGCTACTTAGCTTCCTTTGAAATTTACCCTCTGACCACACCCACAAGACTTAGATAGAGTCACAGAGCTCCCCTAAGATTCCATATCATCTGATTCTTTCATAGATTACCTAAACAAAAAACCTCATTGTCACCTGGAGAAGTCAATGGAGACAAAGGCCACAATCCTGAGATACTGTCATTTAATTGAAGGGGCTGGCTGCTAGGAGTACCATTTTTATTTTTTTATTTATTTATTTTTATTATTTATTTATTTACTGGATTCTGGAAGCTTCTAAAAAGCTTCACAGCAGCAAAGGCCTCGTGTCCAAGTTTCTGTTGTGCTAGGGAACCCTGACATTCATCCATGCAAGTTTCTCCAGCCCAGTGGGCACTTGAGCCCCAGGCCCATTCCTAAGTCTTAAGTGTACCACAAAACTTGGCAGAGGTGGGCAGCTCAGGTTACATGTAGCCTTATCTCTGACCAGCCTGGGTTGTGGTGGTCATCACAGGACCCCCCTCTTCTCTGAGCCATGCAAAGGCCACGCAGGAGGAAACAGTTCTTTGCCAAGACTGCTTGGTTCTCAAGATGATGTGCTCATGCCAGTGTCCAGCTCGACACCTCTGCATGGCCAACAGTCTTAGTAGTAAAAAGACAGAGGTGGATTTCAAAGCAGTTTCTAGAATTCTCCAATCCTAGATACCTTTTGACAACTCCCAGTTGCAACTTTCTAGTAGTGGCTTCCTCAGGGGTCACCACTTTGCTGGAAAGTAGCAGGCTCTGTACTGACTCCCCACATTTAACACTCATGTTCCTTTCTTCTCATCTGACCTACAACTACAGTCCTTTGAGTTTCATTTTTTTTTTTTTACATCAAAATCTTTTTTTTTTTTTTTTTTTTTTTTTATAAAAAATTTTTTTTTTTTTTTTTTTTTTTTTTTTACTCTGGAACTTTGTCCTTGTCCTTGGATTTCACATTTTCTCTCTTCCTGGTTCTATTTCCCCAGACACAGCTGAAGCCCTTTCCTGTCCATGCTTTTCAGCTCACATTTCCTACCCACCTCTAAGCTTGTGTGCTGCTCATGCGATCCATCTAAGTACTTAGGGAAGGAGACTTCCAAGGCTGCAGGGGGCTGGAAATGCTTGTGACTCCATTCTATCAACAGAGAACTCTCACTGTGACTTCTTCTTCTTAGGGGCCCAGGTTCCACACAAAAGGATCAAAGCCTCAGGGAAGTAGGAACACACAGTCCTCCTAAGTCTCCAGACCCGCCAGCTCCCTATTCCCCAGGACTCAAACATACATGGAGCCTGGGAGTGCCCACAGGAGGCTGCAGCTGCTTATCCAGTTGGGATCATTACCCAGGCAGGATTCTGTGGAGGATTCTGGGATTGGCACCCTTTATGACTCAAGCCTTGCTCTCAGGATGGGCATTTGTCTGTGTACTAGTTTTCCTGGCCTTGTATTTATGTTTGGGAGCCTTCAGAAATGACTATGTGGATGACAGTAAGTGGTCCTGAGTTGCATAGGCAGAACATCTGGATTCACACTGGGCCCTAAGCTGAGGATGGTGATAGCGTGTGTACCCTGCTTCCTTCTTTCCCTTTCCTCTGTGCTCCTGGTCTTCAGAGTAGCAGAGGGAGACCCCTGCTCCCACTTTCTGGAAATCAGTATTTGCCCAAGGGCAAGACCAAGGAAAGTTCTTACATGAGAAGACCCAAAGATGATTCTTAGGAACATCCTCACCATTGGTTTGGGAACCAAGGAGTTCTGAGTGTGGTGGTAAGGTGCCTGGCTCCCATACTATTAAGCCTTTAAAAAAAAAAAAAGATCCCAGGAATGTTATTTGTACTTTGGGCCTTTTTTTTTTTTTCCTGCACCTGTAATATGGGCATGAGAGTTACCCACGTGGAGGTTATTTCCTAGAGGCTTTGATGTATTCATGAGCACAAATTGGTATACAAGAAGCATTCATTAAATAATTATCCATTCTTTTCCCTAACTATTCTCAGTTGCTTTTGCACAAAATACAAGATACAACTGGTGGTCCAATTTAATTAACTGACCCATCCCAGGAAGATTCCAGATACCAAAAACAATGAATCGGATCACAGAGTCAGGCAGACAAAGAGGGGAGGAACAGAGCTTATCACAAGTAAGAATTTCATGCACAGCGTTTAGGATCAAGGGACTGTGTCACAGGTACGAGCTGTGAAAAACCAGCAGAAGCTTGGAAGATGATCAACTCATTGTTGACCATAACTAACTACACACCATTTCAGGCACAAAGATCCATACGACTGTGGGAAAGCCATCACAGTATTTGCCTACTGTACTTGCACATTTAGAATATAAAGTCCAGAGAATGAAACAAGCATGCACAAGACCTCAGATGCTGTCCCTCAGCTCACGAGAACAGATCAGGATTCCTAGTTTTCTATGTCTTGAGAATGCAGGGTTCCAGGAAGCAAGCACCTCAGAAAGTCCTGCTGGAATGTCTGAGATAGGGTCAGGGATCTGAAGTTTTGAAAAGCTTTTCTAGGCAATTTGCCTTTGCTGGGGAATACACACTCTTGGCCACATCCAAGGATAGGAGGGCCACAGATACTGAGGTGGGTTTGTATCATGGGAAAGGATATGTGGAGACATAGAGCTTTATTGTCTATGCAGGGAATATGGCCTCGGGGACAAGCTGCAGATATTCTGAGAAGTGTGGAAATAAACTGATGCTTGGTGGCAGGAGATGAGGGCAGAACTCTGTAAAATGTCTTTCCATAGCAAGCCTTTTCAGGGTTTTTAAAAAACTACACCCAGTAAGGTCTTCATTCTTAGGAGTAAAGACACTGGTAGCTGTGCAGTGTCTCCGGGGCCAGCACACTGCCTGGCACTTTCTAGGAACTTGGGTGTAAGTGTCTATCTACTGTGATCTATGGATCCTGGCCAAGTGGGAGTCATGAACGAGGGCCCACAGGTAATGGCTATTCTCACTAATTTAGGTTCTGCTCTTCTTAGGTCAGAACTTAGGACTGGGGCAGGAAGGAGTCAGATAAAAAGGCTAGCCAGTACTCACTGGCCAAAGTCTGGTCAGAGCCTCTCCTTTCTCCCCATGCTAGGCAGCCCTGGGTCGCAGTAGAATCAACTCTTTGGTGGGACCAGTTCCCACTCACCGGGAGCCAGAGAATCACTGATGGTTTCAGCTCTGTGAGGGGAGGGGAAAGAAGCAGGAGCAGACCTCCTTCCCACAGGGCTTGCTGGTTCCAGACAGGTGGAGTGCACTGGTGCCCCCAAGCCCTATCTACGCACTGGGTGCTACACAGACAGGTAAATAGAACATACAGGACACTTAGCCTGTGCCCTCAGTTTTCATGCCTCTTTTAAACACCAGTCTCCACGAAAAGACCCACCACAGAGGTGGCACCAGGACCCGTCTCTAGAACGATTGGCTATATATGTGGAAGTTCCCAATGTATTTCTCGAGTCTAAAGGCATTTCTGGCAAGCCTGCCTTGGTCATGGTAAGAGGAACGGCCGTAGTAAACAGATCACAGATGCCCTGGTCCACAACCCTCCCCTCTGGTCTGTAGCTCTTGAGGGCCTGTTCAAAATTTGGGAGAAACCGCAGTTTCTAGTTCATTGTTCCCAAACAACGTTGAAACAGGGGGTTGTCTCCTCCTTGCTCCGCCCCTCCCCGGAGTCTCATATTTAAGCAAGAAGTTCTCTGCTCACCGCAGTGCCTGGACACCACCGCTGAGTTTCTGGAAACTCTTTGCTATCAACCCCCTTCATCGTGTGCCTCGTGGCCTAGTGACAGACATTCCTCCCTCGCTGCTAAGGCCAAAAGCTTGGCAGCAAACGGTGCCTGAGGCTACGTTTTAATTATTAGCTCCCGAGAGAGGGCCGACGCCTGCATTGCAGGAGGTGTGTGGCTGGCAGACACAATAGCACACACCTACACGCACACGTGCGCGCGCGCGCGCGCACGCACATACACACACACACACACACACACACACACACACACACACACACACACACACACAGCTAAACCCAAATTTTGGAGCAACTAAGGCATCCTCTGACCTTAACTCGGTGTGCCTGTCTTCCACGAGGCTTCGCGAGCGTCCTAAATAAATTCTCGCCGGCGCGGAACTCCAAGCGTGTGGAGTTCGAGGTGTACTTACAGCCAAGACGCTCTGAGCCAGGAGTCCCACTGTCACAGTCGCCAGTAGCAGCCACCTACACCGGAGAGGGAGGGCGACATGAACGTGCAGGCCTCAACTTGTCAACTACTCAAAGTTGCATGCAAGGCCCCCTGCGCCTAGGAGACCAGGCAGAAGGTGACTTACCCTCTCAGGGCAGGGCCAGACACTGAGAACTTCACTCGGTCCATGATCCCAGTCTCACAGCTCTAGGCTCAGCTTGGTACCCTTCTAACCTGGAGGCAAGAGACAAAGCAGGTTAGCAAGGGTTGCAGGCAGAGGGAGCATCGTTACCGCAGTACCCCGACTCCGCGGTGCGGTCCCTCTGTTTCCTTGCCGGATGATCAAAGTCCCGTCCCATCAGGAGACAGAAAAAATGGGGACTCGTCTCCGTAGGCCCTTGCTGAAGCCGCTTAGTCCATGCAGCGCGATCCCCGTTCCTCTATCTCTGTCCCATTCCAATCCAAGGGAGCGCGCGGCCTCTGACTGCCCCGAGCGCTCCAAGTCCGAGATTTGGGGCCTGGGTCTCAGCGCCTCACGGGGGTCGCTCTCACCTCAGGGTCCCGCGTCAGGAGCTGCTGCTCGCGCGCATGGGCCCCTGAAGAAGCGCAGGCCCGCTGCACACCAGCGGCCAGGCCCTTCTGGTTCTGCACCGTGGGCGCCGGCCTCCTGGCCCCAGCGTCCCTGGCTGGGATTGGCGAGCAAAAGGACTAAGGGGACCCTGGCGCGGGAGGAGCTGGGTGCGGAGCGCAGAGCCCCTGCGTTCCGACTCTCAGCGACACCAAGTCCCG